TGAAAATGTTCGATAAGTTCGTGAGTTAGTGAGGAGATCAGAACACCCCTCGGTTATCATAGCTGAACCACAACGCAGTATTTTAGGGTTCTTGCAGTCAACCCAGGGGAAACGATGGACGAACAGTATCAGTCAATGAATATCGCACATTGGTAAACGAAGGACGAAACAATCTATACCCCTGACGTGATATTACCTAGGTTCGCGGATCTGAAAAGGAGGAAGACATTTTTCGGCACAACGTTTTATGAGGCAGATGCATTCGAGTACTGTAGGGTAACCCGAAGATGTGATCAATTTTGAATAACAGCGAATGATTTAAGTTCGGCCGAGTGATATCCGATAAGAACCTAGAGCAAAAAGGAGAGATTTTAGGACCTACGTTGATGTCTTGGATAAGCATTCAGACCGCCAGAGAAAAGAGTAAACAAGCTCTAACTTTTGGCTACTCCCCGTAAATAGCTAGAAGTGCTCGGTAGTGATGAATGGTTTACAAAATCCAGGTATCAAATATTACCTCACCACACTGAGAATCCTCACTCCTAATTTGCTGTCTCTAGGTTTCCGCACAGGTTCACACTTGTTTTATTCATTCTTGAATAACATCTTCCATCTTACATTTTTATCCGGCTTTTCCATATCCGATTATCGTGATTCGATTGCTTGTTGTCTACTGAACATTTTGCACACAGACATTCATTCAAATTCAGCCTAGGCCTTGCATTATTCTATTGACTAATCGAACTACATATGTGAATGCCTGAAGCGATATATCGAAAAGAAATGCCTTCGCATTTTGACTTTGTTCTTATGCATCGCTGGGATTATTTTACGATTCTTTTCCATATATCACTTCCGGCATTTACATACTAAAGTAAATGTACAATCATATTTGCAAGAATCACGGTCGATGAGCGCCCATATGCGGGAGAACCACAAAACTGGTTGAGCACAATACAAGTTTCTCAACAGCCTTTGCTTGAAAGGATATTTTGGTCGTGTACGATTTTCGGAAGACGAATTTCACTCGTGATAGACTATGTCCGTGTTTACTCTAGCTGAAGGATCTTACACACATCCTCCTTTCTGCGATGTGATTGTTTCAGCTGCGTTGACAAAAGAGGACACCTCAGTTATAACGCAGTTTATATGGGCAGCACAAAATGAAATATAATTTGAGACAAGAATGAGATAGGTTCGGTCTAGAAAATGCGGGAATCATTGCCATGGCAACCGTGACCCTGAGTTTCGTACGACTTTTATAGCAGGGGCTTTCCGCCATAGTTGCGCCGAAAAATGTCTTCCTCCTTTTCAGATCCGCGAACCTAGGTAATATCACGTCAGGGGTATAGATTGTTTCGTCCTTCGTTTACCAATGTGCGATATTCATCGACTGATACTGTTCCTCCATCGTTTCCCCTGGGTTGACTGCAAGAACCCTAAAATACTGCGTTGTGGTTCAGCTATGATAACCGAGGGGTGTTCTGATCTCCTCACTAACTCACGAACTTATCGAACATTTTCACAATTTCTGATCGGTGGTGGCTTCGGTAATCACTATTCTAAGAACGACCACGGCGGTGTTCCCATTGTGAACCTGAATCGAGAAATGCGACAATGGCAATAAGATTGTTCGAAGACAGTTTGTACTTACTACTTGTGACTGTCATACGTTAACCATAATTCACCCGGTTTACTTTGTGTTCCTTCCTTCTTCCGTAATTCTGTTTCCGTCTGAGTTAGCGGAATCGTTCCATGCGAAATCGGCTAGTTGGTAAATACCAAGAATTACTTAGTTGATATAGTTTTCCGTTAATAATATAAGTTGAAGTTTTTGATATGATTATCTGTTTTTCGGATACGCTTCGAGGAGTGGTGAGTGTATCTTAGGCGAGTCATGCCATGAGTCATCGTCACTTGAACTTTTTCCATTCTGAATGTCCCACATGTCACATGGCTCCTCAACTGATTCGGCTGTGGTGGTTCGCTACCATACTTAAGCAGCATCGGATTCGGTACTTATTATCCTCCTATACCGGTCCGAAAATCACCCAAGCGATCGGTCGGATGGTCCAGTCGCATCAAGGGACCTGGTGCTCACGCAGCCAACCCGAGTGAGGAACCAGACATTTTTACAGCCGTGAGTCTTAGTCAGGCCCAGTGAACTTCGACTGTGCATCAGGAGTGCCATTAGCACACAGATGAATTAGACATGACAAGAGCATTACAAAACGTCGCGAAATATGATCAGATCACAGAAAGGGTCAGAGGGAATTTACTTGTTTAAGGTTACGGGTGAGAGGGACGAGACAATGTGAAACGATGGATCAATCGTATTGCAGTATGATGCGATGGATATAAGCAATGGCTCAAACGTTGATCGCGTATGCTTCACTGGTATCAGCGGAGGGGGACATACAAAGACGTACTAACAAGATAAACAACCGATATGTACGTCATGGGAATTGAGGCGTGTGTGACCGAATCCCGTCTCACAATGTTCCCTCTCGCTTCAACAGGAGGTAGATCAGTTTAGTTTGTACAAACGCATATTCCTTGCTGTCTTTTGGCTGCCCATTTGGATGAAGAATAGGAGAAGAAAGGAAAGTTAAAAGTGAAGTCGAACAGAAAATGGAGAAATTCAGTGGTCTAAGGTTGCAAAGAGATTGAGAAGATGCACGAATGCCACTGGCTGCGACACGTACATGCAGAGTGGTGTTAGAAAAATAACGAGTGGATGCACGAGCGCCACTGGCTGCGACACGCAGCCATATCACTCAGTGTAGCTAACCATCGGTGACCATCATCCCGAGGTCCCCAGCCAAGGAGCTTAACAGGGCCTATGTGACCCGGTCTCCTGTTTAGGGTTTTCATACACTCGTGCCAGGTCTTAGCTTGACCACCCCTGGCTTTTTTCCACTCGGTGTCTGCTTCGGCGAACATCGCTCGCCGTGGTAACCTATCTGGTGACATGTTTAACACATACCCCAACCAACGTAATCTATGGAGGTCGACCATTTGCTCCAGTGTGCGACCACGGATACCCAAAATTCTGCGTATAACCTCACCATTGCTCGTCCGGCTACCCCACCAGATTCGTGCAATGCTGCGTAAACAGCGGTGT